GTTATAAAAGCATAAGTTATAAATATATAAGTTTTGACATCCAATAGTGAATATTATGAATTCCAAAGAATGCACTCTTGAAAATTATCCATTAACTAGGGGAATCAGATTTGATATTTCTCACATGTATTTGATAATCATTGATGTAAGAAAAATGGGGTAACTTGTTTAAGTGAATTTTAAGTACTAAACTGCATCAAAATGCAGGATTTTGGGTACCGGACCCCCCCTTACTTGGCTTCGATTATTTTCAGAATTTTTAGGAAAGGGACACTTTCATCTCTGTAATAATAATAAAATGAGAAATATAGCACTTACCTGGTCTTTTTTTTTTGCTGCTGAATGTTGTTGAAACTTAAACCTTTTTTTTTATACTAGTGGTACTACTGCACTAAATTTTTTATTAAATTAAATAATGGACTTAGAACACAGAATAATAACACATAAAAAGCAGACAATGTCTTATAATTATCATATATTTTCTGGCTTACTAACTATGGGATAAGAACTTTTAAAAATTCAACTAAGCTAGATGTGTTTCTTGTGGAAATAAAGTTTGAACTGGAAGTGAAATTGACAATTCTTTGTAAAGAAAAGATTGAAATATAATACATTATTTGATGGATTAAAACTTTGGCTTTCTATTGGTTACAAGTAATATAGTATTAAATGTTGGAGAGAACTGTTGGCAATTTGTGAAAGAGAAGCTGAGTCAGGTGAGCATGGCATGTGGGTATGATTTACTAGTTTATGGCTCCATAAATAAGATTGAAGGCTATAAAGGATTTGCTTTGCCTGAATAATATCTGTTATAATGAGTAAGTTACATTAAATTATTAACTTCTCAGAGGGGTGTCAAGTAAATTGGAAAGAAGACCTAGGGGAGATTGAGGATGATTTTTTAAAAATATTTCCTTATAAAATTAAGAACTTAAAACATATAATATGAAAACTTGATTTATTAACTACATTTTGATGCCCAATTTATTTATATAAAGTAATAACTGAGTAGTTTGATTAAATTTTGAATGTAACTCTGCAAAAGGGTTCACATATCTTTATTTGTATGGCTATATATTTATCAATTACCTGCACAACTGACAGAATTTTTACATCATGTCAATGGATATGGTCACAATGTTTCATATTTATACAATATATAGGTGCAGACTTTTTACAATGTGAGATTGAAAATGGTGGTCTGCTTGGTAGCAAGAAGGGAGTCAATCTTCCAGGAGTTATTGTGGATTTACCAGCAGTATCTGAAAAAGACAAAGAAGACATATTGTTTGGAGTAGAGCAAGGAGTATGTGACATTATAATGTTTTGATATAAGGATTATTGTTTATTAATTACATTGCACTTTAATGTTAAGAGGTTAAATTACTTTTATTAAGTACTTTTTTATAACTAAATATATCTTACAGAAAGACTTGATACTACAATTATCTCACTGAAGCTTGTAATGAAAAATATTTATTTCATCCTTGATAACTGTAGAAATTATTGTTCCTTTTGCAATATGACTTAATTCTTTGATAGGTAAAGAACAGTTGAAAAAAAGCTGTGACTATTAAAAAATTGACTAACTGCTGAGGTAGAATATGATTATAAATTGTCTAATCACAAGTAAGCAAAATGCATAAATCAGAACTAAAATTAACTTGTATAAATTGAAGCTAATTCTGTACAAAAAAAAATTGACTAAAGCACTTAATAAATATCAAAATAAGTAAATACAGAAAAAATCTAAAACATTAAATGACTAAAATGTATTAATATTAAAGATGAGTAGAATGTATTAGTATTTAGGATTTATCTTTAATACTTTTATGAGAGCATACTGACATGTATATCATTAGGAAATGCTGTTGAGAATTGCTTTTGATATTTCGTTTTAAAAGTGACCTTTTTATCTCATTGAAAGTTAATGCATGGTAAGAGAATCTTTATTTTATTCAGTGTGAAATAATAAAATCTTATACAAGTTTTTCAAAAAAACAAAACAGCAAAAGTGCCAAAAAATAAATGTTTGTAAGAATTAGTAGTTCAGTAATAGTTACATCTGAATTAGTGTTAACACCCAGCCTATAAGTCGGAAAACATTTGATAGGTTGATTCCCAAACAAAGCTTTGTGGTACTTTTTTTTTCTAACTCTGAATAGAGAATCTGAAATTGGAATTGTTAACCAGTGTGACCAAATTTGCAGTAGTTTTTAGGCTATGATGGAGTAAAACTCATATCCCCATATAAATTTCAATGTAAAATGCTGTAGTGGTTGCACATGTTGTGCCATATAGGATCTGGTTCCTCAGCTATATAAAGCCATTTTCTCCACAGTTTTTGTGAGTTCTATCAATAGATAGCTGAGGAAGGCTCAGCAAAGCTTACTTTCCTCTGGAAGGTGGGTAAGTGTAGTATTTGCTTAAACATGAACATTTCTATTATTTTGTGCAAGAGAAACTCAGTCTGGCCAAACCCCTAAGCACCACATTTTTGGCTGAACACTACAGAGGTAAGTTCTTTTGACAATAAAGTGTAGTTTTTTAGGATAACAGATCAAGCCCTTTATTGTAGCAAATTGTTTTGGACTTGTCTCAAATACTGGAAATCATGACACCCCTCTATAGCACATCCATTCCCTCGCAATTCGGCATCATCAACTTGCAGGATGGGTGTTAAATAAGATGAAAAAATGTGAATAAAACTACCATAAATTAAACAGTGGTTGTTTTTTTTTTATTATAAAATTCAATTAACTTTTCATAAATATTGGTTTAAAGAATTAGAAGTGAAATGCAAAAATAGAATTATTTACACTGAAAATCATTATGCATATTTACAGAATTGTGAAACAAATGAGGCTGATTTTAAGTTGAAGATATAGTAAATTTTTTTTTCCAAATAAAAGATAAGTAACACTATTGCTTCATTATGGATATTGTTTTTACTTTGAGTTTATATTTTTGAAGATGAGATAGCATGCTAACCAAAAATAATCAGTTGGCTGAATGCTTCTACAACCAGGAAGAAATGACTATTTAAAGCAAAAATTCAAATAGTGAATGTCCCATCAAAGGAAGATTAAAAGTAGTAACAACTATTTTTGCATGAGACCCGAATCATTTTAACATTACAGGATGTTCAAAATGTCCGACACTATTCTATGTAATACCAAAGAATATTCATTGCACTTTAAGGTGTGGATGCTTTATAAGAGTGACAGTTAGTACCTTAGTGGTATTGTGCTTCTTACTGGCTGTTTTTCCCTCTGGTCAATAGTTCAAAATTAGTTAGTGGTAGATAGCCTTACTATCTTTGCTATAAATAAAAAATACAAATACCCACAAACTTTATCAGTGCATGTGACATCTATTGGCAACTAACACACAGCAATATTAGTTTCATTAGTATATTTATTATTCATTTGCTATGGCTCACACTGTATTTCTTTACATCATAAATTTGTTTTTATAACTGTAGGTAGACATGATATTTGCCTCATTTATAAGAAATGCAACAGGAGTGAAGGAAATCCGCAAAATTTTGGGAGAAAAAGGCAAAGATATAAAGATTATTCCTAAGATTGAAAATCATGAAGGTGTTAAAAAGTAGGTATTCATATCAAAATGTAGTAAATGTGTGAATGCATTCTTACCAATGATTTAATGTGTTAACCTCTTATCTAGACATGCTTTTGTGAATCAATTATGATATAACTGTTATTGTGAAGTTCCTTCTTGTATTTCACAAAAGAATATCTTCATTGGTTTCAAGTTAGTAAATAGTTTGAAAGAAACAGTTGAAACAGCCAAATTCACAAGAAAAGCACCCGTGTTTGTCAGACTTGGAAAATGTGAATAGTTGCAATTTATGTATTTTTTTTCACATACAAAAATATGCTTCTTGGAAGTAAACAACATTTTAGATGGAAAGTCAGTTCTGCCATTGGTAAGTAATGGCACTGTTAAAGTTGCTTGTACAAATGCAAAAATAAAATAGAATTTGGTCATTGGTCTTTTTTTTTTCTATATATGTGCATAGATTTTGGTCAAAGGGTATTTACAAGAATGTGAAAAATATGGAAACCTTAGGGCCATTAACAATTAATAGTTCCTTAAGGATCACAGCAAGTAGGGCAACTGATGTGACTAGTGTAACTGACATTGCAAACTCTGAACTTGGATGGGCTAAGCATTGGAAATGTAATTCTCAGTATGGTATTGAAAATGTTGGTCCTTAGAAAGAGGAAACTAAAACATTTCTTTTATTTTGATGTGGCTAGTAAGTCCCACAGATGTTCTGCTGAAAATAATAGCTCATGAAATTAGAGGTAGACCACCCACATAAAGACCAGCTTCCATCCGTTTCTGAAATTATGTAAGCCAATTTTTTGCTAAACAGAAGCAGCAGAAAATATCTTTGAATGAATGTTAGGATATTACTGCACAGCAAGAAAATTTCATGTAAGGTTTTAGGTGGGATGGAGAAGTTTTTATAAGTGATATGGAACACAATGAAAGTAGGACCAGTTGTGTGGTAACAAACTTTTGCATGGATTACATAATACTGCCAAATGAAGTTTCTGCTAATAATAACAGTTACATTATCAATGCTAAGGGTTAGATGTTGATGTGTGGCCAAGGTATACAAGAATGATCTACTTGACCATTTTATAAAGCTTCTGGAAAACTAGTGATCATGGTTATTGCTTTGAAAAAATGATAATATTTGCTTGAAAAAAAGAAGTTAAACATTTATTGTAATTAAATGTTGAAAAGGAGCTTCTAGGACAGTTAGTTGTAGTTTGGGAAGTAATAAAATTGTAGTTTAGTTTGAGTTTTACATTAAACTTGCAGAATTTGTATTTGTTAAGTTAAGCCTAGATTGGAATTAAAAATGCATGTGTATTTCTAAACTCAAACATAAAATAAGCATTTTTTTGTGCAACAGTCTCTGAAAATAATTGGAAAGTATCAACTAGAATATCAGTTAGTGCTAAAAATTGGATAGTCCTTTCAGTTTCAAAGTGTATCATTGTTCTTTTGAATGAGTTTTCAAACAGGAAAGTTAAATTTAGAGGAATATTTATACTAATTTATCAAAAACCAGAACTTTTATGATATAGATAGGATAATATAGATTTACAATATAATTATCTTTGATAAATTTAAATGTACATTAGATACAAAATAAACCCAACTTAACATCATTTTTGATATTGGTAAATGGAACTTGTTCACAAACTTATGCAGTAAATATTTTATTCCTGTTAACTATATTAGTTGTCAATTTATTACTGCTGTAATTTTTGGTAACCTTTAATATTTTTAGTCAAAAGAATGTTTCTTATAAGCCTCAAGTGTTTTTATTCAATTTTCTTATTTATTTTGTCCTTTGCTAATGATAAATGAAGTATTTGTTTGGTACATCATTGATGTGTTGTAAGAAGTGCAGATACATCTGGTGCTTTATGCCATAAAACCCCCAGTGAACAACCAACTAGCTGTGTTGTAAGGATATTTCTACAGTGTTTTGTGTGATGTTACATAACAGTAAGACCAATAAATATCTTAAAAACTCTTTTTTTTTATATGTTTGATGGTTGATATGTTATATTCTTACTAGAGATCTGTATAGGGCCACTAAAGAAACATTGTGTAAAATATTATTCTTACTGTTATGTAATGTTACACAACACTGATCAATAGCTCACATTTTGCTGGCATATCAAAGGCTTTATATTATCAAAACAAAAATGTTTTTTCTGGATTATTGCATCTATATGTGATATGTATCTGTGACCAAAATATTATCATTTATCATGAATGTTTGGGCAAAAAGCACTTTAAACAGTAAAGATTCAGTTCAAACAACACTTTAAAACCTTTACTGTTGACTGCTAAGGCTGTACACAAAAATGACCCCAAAAAAAGTATGTACATTAGACTTGCAAGAAAAAGAAAATCTGCTCAAAATATAATTCTTATTATTCTCTTGCCAGTCTGCAACAAAAACAGCTTGGTATATTGCACCCAAACAGTTTGTAGAATACTAAAGGTACTTGAAGGTCGTAGGGGTATTGAAAAGTTGATTTATTTCTTCTATATTTTACATAAGCTAAAAAACATCATATTTCTAGTGTAAATGATCTTATCATTACTCCTTGAAGTTAGTTTTCATACAAATATCTGATGTTTCTTTAAAAAGCTTAAGTACAGGGTGAAAAAGGAATTACCAGCCAATAATAGGGGAACATTCTATGATTAACATCTAGATACTTAATGCTTTGTACACTATACAATCGGTGTCTTTAGGGAGCCAACTCCTTTATTATGTATGAAGTGAAGGAGAAAAAAAAATCAATACACATATTAAACTTTAATACACACTTTCATAGAATAATTACTTTAAAAGACATGAAGGTTTATTCAAAGTTATTTTTTCGATAATTTTTTATTTGTAAAGGCTGCTTTTGTACTCATAAAATTTTATATGTACTTAGTGAAAGTTGTTTTAGTCTAGGCATATATTTACTCATTGCTGTGCATTATATGTAGAGAATTTAGTTACATAAACTATAAATGCTTACTATATTCTCAAACAAATCTCCATGACAATCTCCAGCTACAGCTTATTTTACATCTCAAACAAATGTGATCAAATAGTCAATAGCTACAGTAAATCATCATGAACTGTATCAGCTAGCTACTAGCTATGTTTATTATCAGTACAATGTATAAGGTTAGCTACTATATCAAGTAATCCTTTTTCCATAGTTGAGCATAAAAAAGTAAGCAAACAAGATAAATTCTAGATAACCACGTGGAGCCAAAATAGGGGTTTGTAGTCTGAGTAAATAATGTCTACTTGTCTACTTTTTTTTTATGACCCCTATTTGCAGGTTTCTTAAATCCCAGTTTTTTTTATTTATCTTGTGGTATTTTAGAATTTAAAGAACAAAGCAAGACTATTTTTGCAATTTTGAATTTTTCCATACATCATTATGACCTTATGTTTCTAACAAAATTTTCTTTTACAAATCTTTTATAAACAATGTTTAATCTGTTTAAAATCATGAAATTAACTTTTGTTAGGCAAGTGTAAAATTTTAATAAGCAATATCTGGCAGAGGTTAATCGTATTGTAAAAGTTTTTTGTCATGAAGAATAGTTTGATAAAAACATTTAAAACTATCCTCAGAATTGATGAAATCATTGAAGAAAGTGATGGCATCATGGTTGCCCGTGGTGATTTGGGAATTGAGATACCTCCAGAAAAAGTTTTTCTCGCACAAAAGATGATGATCTCCAAATGTAATACCCTTGGAAAACCAGTTATCTGTGCCACTCAGGTAAATTATGAAGAACTGAAATTGTAATGTTGATATTCCAAGCCATTGTTTTTATGTAAGTTAATATACATATAATATTTAAGTCTTGGTTTATGACAGTCAGTAGATGGTTCAGATTGTGGCTTATGAAATATAAGCAGATTATACTGTTACTTTTTTTGTGAAGAATTGTTTGTGAAATTAAAAATCAGCTTTTGTTACAGTTTTATGCTTATAAGGTTGGTTGCACCGTTTAAGTGAATTGTTCTGTGATTATATGACTTGGGATAAGTAATTCTGATTGATATAATATCAGGAACTAAACAACTGCACTTAGAAATGTGGTCCAAAACAGTATCACTCTGGTAGCTGATCATACATGTATTGTTTCTGCAAACAAGACCAGTGTAAGTTACAGTAATGCTGCTATACATTATAAATGCATTGGTTTGAACATTGACGTCACATGAAACTTTTATTACATTTCGCATACCAGACTGAGTCACTTTTGTTATTAATATTAAGGTATAAAAAATAATAGCAAAATACATTGTTAGCAGTAATATTTCAGTGTAGTGTAACTAGTATGTTTTCTAAGTCATGATATTGTAAGTATTGCTAGAGATGTAGAATTGTATGTTATTGACTCATCTTATTTGTTATCTTGATTAGTCTTTTAATTGTAGCATTGTATGTAATTTAGTCAATAATTTTACATAAGACAATAATATTATAGCAGTATAAGTAAGAGCATTTTGTTTTGGTGAAGTATGTTGGTAGTATTAAAAATAATCAATCAGACTCATTGGTGCAGTATGCATAGATCATACTTCCATTCCCACTATTCAGTAGAGCTGAGCAGTTATTGGAATTTGCTAATAAATTAACTATTGGGCTAATTAAATGAGTATTATCACATGAGATAGATGAAATAAAGCAACTTATAACACTGTTTAACAACAGACAATGGTAATATTTCAGTTATTTAGGTAGCTGGAATAGCAATAACTATACTAATTTTGATTAGTTGATTATTTTCATAAATTGTGACAGATCTAATTGATTAAATTGAACAAACTCAAGTGAATTTAAAATATCACTGGATAGTTGAAATAATTGAAAATGTAACATTAATTTTGATTAGTTGAATATTTTGTGACATTATTCAATTTAATGGTAATTTTGTTAACTGGATAGTTGGAATAACCAGAAACACTAGTTGATTATTTTTGTAAAATTGATCAATTAAATCATAATTTTGATTAATCGATTATTTTATGTGAAATTAATTGATGCTAACAGGTAATTGATCATATTGAATAATTGAGTTAATTGTCTTCAGTACATGAGCATTATAAGTCCCAATCTTGAAGTAATGCAAATGGGAACTTTTACAACTTTTATAGTGTAATATTAAAATTTAGCCCAAACGTGAAAGATATAATTATGCGTAAGTTGAATATTATTATGAATTCTAATTATGTTAACCTTTGGATAAGTTACATTTATACTGCACATATGTTTGGGAGGATTTTTTTACAGTTGAAAAAAATAACTGGAAAAACTTTGCACTAAAAAATTCCATCTGTTAGAAATTTAACTAATGTGTGACAACTGAATATTGAGATGTTTCTGAAACACTGCAGTGGGAAAGGACAAGATGCTGTAACATGCACTACACGAGTGAATTTATTTCAACAGTACAATGATTGACTGAAATGTGTTGACAAGATAAATAATTTAATGGAATTTTTTAAATGTTTTCTGAATTAACCATGCTGTATCATCGTTTGAAAATAACTTGTTTTAACATTTGAGTAGTAAGATTTTTGTTAATGTAAATCTTTTTCTGATTTTAGAATATCATCATAAATAATATAATGTCATACATTGTAGTTAAAAAACAGTTTGAACTAGTCCTAGTGTTATAGAATGGACATTATTTGTCTTGTTTCACATTTGTAATAGAAATCTTCCATTCTTCACTCATAGCTAACGATTTTCATAATTATGTAAAACAGGTATCTGCTCATAACTGACACCAAGTTAAAAAAAAATATCAGTACTGATTTGAATGTGTAAATGCACACTTTTAAAAGCATTTAAATTTTTGTTTTTTTGGACCAACGTATCCTATTGGCTAGCATGCTGGACTCTTAGTTTCATGGTTCACATCCTGTTGCCACAAAATCTTGCTCTGCATTTTGAGGCTGTGAGTAATAATAAAAATTAAGATAAAAACTCGCCATTCAATCCGAGTAACCCTAGAGTTGGCAGTGGTTGCTGTTGACTAGCTACCTTCCCTCTAATCTATCTGTCTCATGTAGGTTTGTGTGAATATACAAAATGCAGTCATAACGTTTTTTTTTGTTCGTAATTTATTTCAAGACTATTTTAAAAGTATGTATGAAAGCATTTTAAATTTATTTTCACTTAAGTACAATTTGAAGTTTGTAAATGTGGATTTATTTTATGACTGGTTACCAAATGTCACAGTTTATAGCCTTATTTTTTGTCTTGATCAGAAACGGTAAAAATATTAAAAGGATTTTGAACTGTGGTACAATAAACATTAGATTCTTTAACAAATATAATTTTTTTTCATGTTATTCAAATAGTTTCAGAGCTGTATCAGTGTCACTATGAATAGAGGGGGTGGGATGACACCAGTTTTTCACTGAGAAAATCTGACATAAAAATACAACAACAAAAATCAGATTTTTTTAATGAACTTTTTATGTACTTTATGAATATCCTTTCTGTGGTGAAATAAGTATCAATATAGTCTGTCCAATTTTTCCAGATGCTCGAGAGTATGGTCAAGAAACCAAGGCCAACTCGGGCTGAAAGCTCTGATGTAGCTAATGCGGTCCTGGATGGTGCAGATTGTGTAATGTTGTCTGGAGAAACAGCCAAGGGAGATTACCCTCTGCAAGCTGTTAAAATCATGGATGCCATCTGCACTGAAGCAGAAGCAGCTATTTTTCACAAGCATGTTTTTACAGAGCTTAGTGCTAAGACTCCAGTCCCTCTAGATGCTGCTCATTCTGTTGCTATAGCTGCTGTCACAGCTTCTATGAAGTCCCTGGCATCAGCTATAATTGTGATCACAACAACAGGAAGGTAAAGTCTGTTAGAATTACAATAATAACTTTCAAGTCTTACAGTCAAAAGATAGGTTGATATATTAAATTATTAATTTTTGGGTCATAAAAGAAAACTTGTCATAAATTGTATGGCAAAGCAGGACAAATGAAAAACTTGCAAAAAAATTAATGTAATGGCACAGATCTCTAGGCAGGCCAGTAAAACGATTTTTGATTTTTGTATTATTCTAATCATCAGTTTGTTTATTAAATTTGGAGAAAATTTATTGTGAAAAAAATGTAAAATTAGTCTTAGTATTTTGCAATAATAAATTTAAGCTTTGATAATGTTTGTTGTTCTGAATAACTGAAATTTTCATAAACAAATATTGTAGGAATACTATATAAAGTTTATATAATAAATTCTTGAATAGTTTTTTTTTGTTTTTTAAGTGCATGTTATTCAGAACCTGAACACAGTAAAATGTCTTGTATTTCAATAATTGCATGTGTAGTGATGAACAAAGCACTAATAGTTCTAAATAAAACAACACTTCAGTGTTTTCAATTGGAATAAATTGAGTGGGTCTTTCCTTAAGGCATCCTCAAATTAACAGAATTTAGGAAATATGTTAGTTGTCAAGAAAACTACTTTTAACATTAGTTTGTTTAATATAAACTCTACATCTAGAGAGAGCATTAACTTTTGCTGTATATTTTGATGGTTAAATTAGATTACTTTCATTAACTTCAGTTTCACTTGTTTACTCAGAATTGGGCTCATTTGAAGTGGACAAGAAGTACATGTAGGTACTGCATTTAGCATAAAATTGTGAGCCATATGCCGTAAATAAAGCTAGAAACCCAGGCATAAGACATTCTTTTGTAAGATGACATTTGGGTGTAGAAGTTGTGTTTGTTATAAGTGGAACTAGATGTGCAGGTTTAAAACAAGGAATCTATATATTTCATAAACATAAGTTTATTTAACTAAATTGTATGTTTAGTTTTTTATCATCATCAAGTGAATTTGATTTCTCCTTTATGTGAATACAAAATAGTACTTGGTTGTAGGAGTGATCACGAAGTGTCATAGACAATATTTTAGAGTCAAAATGTGGAATTAGCAAATTGAGAAATTTTGATTAGTAACTTGTCCCTATTAGTTTAGGTTCAGTTATATCATGCAATGATAAATGTTTGTTTGAAAGTCATCTCAGATTTGTCTTTCTAATACTTGTGTGGCATTTTGAAGATGTAACTTATTGTAGCAGTCAAGGAAAAGAATTGATATGTTGGGATATTTTTTTATTACACTAAGTATATTCTGACTTGAGCAGCAGCTTCATTGTGATGACTGAGTTTAATTGATCAAGTTTACAAATTTAATTGAATTATGTATTTTGATTTTTGATGATAAAAATATTAGGAAATATTTTAGAAATTTCAATAACTACATTAAATCTTCTTTTCTGCTAAACACTGAATCTGATAAAAATGATGTCATTCAAAATAGGACTGCTCACTTGATTGCCAAGTATCGTCCACGTTGTCCTATTGTTGCTGTTTCTCGATTAGAAACAACAACTCGTCTAGTTCATTTGTGGCGGGGGATCATCCCACTCCTCTATACTGGTAAGATTTATCAAAGCTTTTATCTTCCAGAAATGTGATACTTTAAAATGTTGTATAGTTGGGTATTTATGATTTCTAGGTTAATTATATACCTTACAAGGAAACTTAAGTTAAAAAATGTTAGATGCTAGTTCAGAAAGATCAGTTGTTTATTAATCTTCTTTCGTTATTTTATGTGTAGAGCATGTACAGTTTAACAAGAATGTAAAGAAGGTTAACTAGAGTAATCTTTACGTTAATGAAGTTTTCCAGTAATGTAATTAGCTCAAAAATTTGTAACTATATATTTATGGTTTCTTCATTTTTTAGGAGACCGAATGGAGGACTGGCCTCATGATGTGGATGCCAGAATCCAGTATGCAATCAACTTGGGAAAGAACAGAAACTTCATTCAATGCGGTGATGCTGTAATTGTTGTGACTGGCTGGCGAAAGGGAGCTGGAGCAACAAACACCATGAGAATTGTATACGTTGATTAACGTAATCTTCCTACTATTGCTTGTGTTTCAGCTGTTGGAGAAATGCCCATTGTCTAGCTTGAAATAGTTTGCATTGTTGTGAACAAATTAATTTAAAAAGTCGTTTCTGACAAACAACTATTGTGATAGTTAACTTATTAGATATTTAAACTTTTTTGTTTTTACAATATTTATCATTCTGAAACCAAAGCAAATACCAAGTGTAAATGTGTTTTGTGTGGAAAACCTATTTTGTCTGTTTAAGTTATCTCTGTTAAATTATCATTGTTTGTACAGCTGATCTTCTCAGTTTTCAAGTCACTTTTCCTATTTTAAATCTTTTTAATGAGAAAACGTGAGTTATATATAGTTTAATTTATTTCAAATGCTTTTCAACTTGTTTTTTACCATAGTTAATAAACTTCATTTTATTAATTTAAGAAATATAATGCACTTAGTAGAGTGCAGATACTTAAAAGTGTTGCTTTTTACTCAACTATTTTTAACAAGCATAAGTTTTACCATTATCTCAAGATTTTGACTTGGATGGATTGTATGGTGGAGTGAATGCTGTTTTAGTTGTAACTAAAGGCTGTACTATAAAAATGGTTTTCTTTATCTGGTACTTTTTTATTCTGAAAAGTATCTAATTATTGTAAAAGAAAATGCATTTTTTATATTTTTTTGTTCCAGCATTGTGTACTTGAGTTGTCATATTGTACTTTTGTTTCAACAATAAATATGATCAGCTGAATTATTTGCACTCATCATTTTGGTTTAAATACATAGTGGAAATATTAAAGACAGCAACATATTTGTCAGAATTAAGTTAGGCTTTAGTTTTACATGTAATTTTAATTAAATTTGTTTTATTTTAAGGATTTTTTTTAATAACGATAATGTTGAAAGTTGTAAGATACACGTACAGTTTCTGGAGTTGAAATACATCACATTATAATTATTTTTTTTAAGATAAAGTGAGATATTGGTGATTTTTGAAAATTATCCTTAAAAATGAATTATTTGATTTATTACCACTCATTTCAGTTTCAATGTTTACCTAAATTCAGTATTAATGCATACAATTGAGAAATGGAATGAGTGAAGTATCTCATTTTTCAACATTTTGTAATTGAAAAAGTAATGTTTTAATATACCAACTGTGCTTTTCAAGTTTAAAAAAAAATACATTTTGGTAATTAACAAAATTATACTAAGCAAAAAAATTGCCAAGTACTTAAAATAATGATGATTAATCAAATATTAATACATAAGAATGTTATCTATTTTGTGGTTTGTTGAGAAGGGCGTATGTCATAGGAGGAGGCAAGTATTTTGTAGGAGAACCTCTCCCATTAGGTTGTTTAAAACTAACAAGTCGTACCAAATTTAAAATGGTCTGGCATGGCTAGGTGGTTAGGGTGCTTGATTCGCAATCTGCATTACTTAAATTTGATTTTGGTTTGAATTTCGTGCAAGGCTACACACGGACTGTCTTTGCTAGCTGTTCCTAATTTAGCAGTGAAAGGCTAGAGAGAAGGCAGCTGGTCATCACCACCCACCGCCTACTTTTGGGCTACTCTTACCGATGAATAGTGGGATTGACCAACACATTATAATGCCCCCACAGCTGAAAGGGCGAGCATCTTTGGTGGGACTGGGATTCGTACCCGCAAACGAAATATTTAATTGATAGACACTAATAATTTACGAAATTAGCAATGAGAATAAGAATGATGTTTAAACAACGTTTGAGAAACTCGTCTGTTTATCGCAAATGAACTAGATGGGTTTCTCAAACTTTGTTTAAAGCATCATTCTTACCATTTTCAATACTAGTTTCATAAATTATTAGTGTTTATCAATTAAACATTTCCTATCCAAATTTGATAACTTAATAATTTTAAACAACCTAATGGAAGATGTTCTCCTAAAAAAATACAAACTACGACAGTTTGGGACATTTTACTTCACAACAATGATATCTGACAAACCAATTTCGCTAAAAATAAGTAAATAAATAAAGAATTAATTAAATTAGTATTTAATGTATCCAAAATACTCGGAAGTTCAGTTATCTCTCAATAGATGGAAAAAAAATTAAGAAAAAATACATGGAAGTTCAGTTATCTCTCAATAGATGGAGACTGTACTGAACTATTATTAAAAACCTTTACTTAAAATACAACAGAAGTAAGTACTGTCACTACCTTATATTTGCACAACAAAGATGTCCTGATGCTCGTTCAATAACTGTCAATTTAAATCCCTTTGTGTTCAATCCAGAATGAAAGATGCATAATTTATACTTATTTCATAATTTTTTATGGTGGTTGCGAGATCGTTCAAATTTTCCGGACCCGAACAGAAATTGATTACTGAAGACAATAGATAAAGTATAAAGTTTTCTCTTAGGAAACGTTTGGTAACTATTTGGACATTATAAAAATTTCGCATATGAAAGATCGAAATTTTCTGATACACAAAAGTATCTTTAATGTTAAGATGAAAATTACTTTGCCTGATGGCCCGTAATGTGACGGTCAATCCCACTATTCATTGGTAAAAGAGTAGCCCAAGAGTTGGCGGTGGGTGGTGATGACTAGCTGCCTTCCCTCTAGTCTTGCACTGCTAAATCAGGGACGGCTAGCGCAGATAGCCCTGATGTAGCTTTGCGCGAAATCCGTAACAAACAAACAAACTTTGCCTGACAGATAGGCAAGATGTGAAAAAATTGCCCGCTCAATTTGTATATAAGAGCAATATTATTATCTTCTCCTATTACTTGCGTTTTTGTGAGAAAATAACAAAAAGGAAAACCACTACTCAGGAGAATGACTTCTACATTTCACAATAGTTTTTGCTTACCGTCGCTAGATAGCAGTACATCATGTTTTTTTTGGGACTTTTCACTTCACAACAATGATATCTGACAAACCAATTTCGCTAAAAATTAATAAATAAATAAAGAATTAATTAAATTAATATTTAATGTATCAAGCACCCGAAGTATCTTTGCGAGTGAACGATCTGTATACATATTATTGATGTATCAGTTTAATAACATCAAAACAATACATTATATAGCGGTCTTCATTCTTTCAAATCTTCAGTGGGGCCGAGCCTGGAACTGTGTGGACAGATACTATGATTAGTCTTCTCTTCAACAGTGTTT